GGACTGAAAGGTCCCGGGTTCGATTCCGGTCAAGGGCATGTACCTTGGTTGTGGGCACATCCCCAGTAGGGGGTGTGCAAGATCGATGATTCTCTCTCATCGATGTTTCTAACTCTCTATCCCTCTCTCTTCCTCTCTATAAAAAATCAATAAAATATATTTTTTTAAAAAAGCAAAAAATATGAAGAATATATTTATTTTATATTGGGGATATTTGCACATCCCCAGTAGGGGGTGTGCAGCTGATCGATGATTCTCTCTCATCGATGTTTCTAACTCTCTATCCCTCTCTCTTCCTCTCTATAAAAAATCAATAAAATATATTTTTTTAAAAAAGCAAAAAATATGAAGAATATATTTATATTCTTTATTCTGGTTAGTGGTAGATAAAAATATTCAGCATTACTTTAGCTTTACAAGTAAGTTAAAATGTTAAAATCACTCATATAGTTTCTTTTTTTTAAAGAAATTTAAGAAGATATTTTTATTGATTTCAGAGAGGGAGAGAGAGAGAGAAATATCATTGATGAGAGAGAATCACTGATCAGCTGCCTCCTGCATATCCCTACTGGGGATTGAGTCCTTGACTGGAATTGAACCTGGGACCTTCAGTTCTGAGGTTCTATCTACTGAGCCAAACCAGCTAGGGTCTCATATAGCTTCTGTATATAAATTCTTAATTTCTCATATAAATTAATAGATTATCACACCCCAAAATACAGCTACCTAAGCCTTACCCTAACAAGTTCTAATTCAACTGTTTAACATCATCTGCATTTCTTTCTTTTTATAATTTCTCCAGGTGACAATAAAAGTATAGCCAAGTTTGAGAGTCACTGAAGTAAAGCAAAAGGGAACAAAACAGGCAAGATACCTTATTTCTTTACTTCATTTTATTTTAATCCTATCCCTTAGGGATTTTATCACAAATGAAAATTTTCTGTAAAAAAAAATTAAAAATATATATATATATATATAAATCAGGGAAATGTCAGTAATTTGGAGGCCATGGAACAATAGAAAGTTTGAAATTTTAACACAGAGAGTGAAATAACCAGCCTTGAACTAGTCACATAGATGGAATATCTATACTAGAGTATGCTTTCGGATGATAACATAGCCCAAGCATGTTCTAAGAAAGTCTGAATTTCAAATACTCTTTCCATCAAACCCATAAATAATCAAAATATTTTAGGGGAGAGGAACTGGGGGTAAGGGGATAGGAGAGAGAGTCTTGCTTTTCACTAGCTTGTCATCTTTTAGATTCTGAACCATTAATTATACTTATTAATAACCCAGAAAGTATAACACTTTGGCATCCAAATTACTTCTCACAGAATTAGCTTACAGACTGAGAAGAAGCCCATTCATTGATAATACAGTAGCCATGGGCCCAATCCTGAAATACAGAAAAGTAAACTGAGGTGAAAATAGGTAATATTGCTTTTAGCCTTGTATTGCATTTTTATATAACTAGGGAGAGACTGGGAATTTAAACTCACACCCTTAGTATTTTACAAAAACTCCCTAAGAGGGTAGTTATAAAGGTTGAACGAGATAATGATACATGCAAAGTACTGAGTCTAGTTTCTAGCACACAGCAGTCCTTATCTAGAATTGCTTCCCTAAAGGTGAAAATGGGTCCAGTGGTCTGAGATTTGCTTTGAGAAATTCCAAAAGTCTGACTTCTGAACACAACCAGCTCCATCTGAGGAATGTACTGGCTTGGGTTCACATTCATGTAATGACAACTCATGTTGGTGCAAGGCCAAACCTAGTTTGATCTCTACCCTGGATTTCTTTTGGAAACACGCAAGTGTCCAGACAAAAATCGCAACATCTGTGCCTCTCCAGCTGAGGCTGCCATTTTGCAGAAATAATAACAGCTGAGTTCTGAAAGATGGGAATGAGGAGCAAAAAGGCAATCCATCCTCTGCGCCTGGCCTGGGTAAATGCCTATGAAACCTTTATGCTCTGAAGGGAAAGTAATTGCTCTGCTACAGCGTGCTAGGAAAACAATTTTCTTAAAAATAAACAGGTCCCAAGAGATCAATGGTCTGGAAAAATTCCTCTCAGGCCCTGTGAATGCAAACAGTAAGCAACTTTTCAGGCCAACAATTGTGATTCATACCCTCCAAACATAACACACACACAACACTTGCGCACATCTCTGATGAGTCACAGTGGTTCTGAAAAGTAGGCAAAACACACATACTTCTCATCACTGTAGCAGGACCCTCAGAATCCCCTACTGGAGGCCTGGACACAGCTATTGAGTCCTGGGCATTCACCCCAGACACACAGCACAGCTGCTCTACCCTCTCAGAGCCTACAAACTCTCAAAGAATCTTTCCTGTGGAAACACAGTTATAAATTAAAAAAAAAAGTATCCCTATAAATTATAATTAGGAAGCAATGAAATTTAAGAACATTCTTTGTTATTAATATATATATATATATATTCTTAAATTTACTCTGCGTTTCTCTGATCTCAATGTCACAATGATCTTGTTATTCTGACTCTGGTGCAATTATATATATAAAATACATATATTTGTTTTTATTCTGTAATTTGAAGCTCCTTACTTAGCTATCTACTCTCTAAAGACCATGAAAAAAGGGTTACCAGGATGTCCCCATGTGATCTTACCTCATTCCCTCCCCTTTAAGCCTGAATCACTGTGTGTATGCACAGAGGGCTCTCAATACCATGGATGTTCTAGCTCTTGACTTGACTGTGGTCATTGAGCTCACAGTGGAGAAAATTAGACTTCAAATAATTTTTTAGAAACTATGCTTCTCATAAACTTCTTAAAATAAAAAGGGTATTTTTTGTGGTCTGTTTTTTGTTTGTTTTTTTGGTCGCTCATGAAGTATGTAAAGACATTAAAGCAAATATACTTGAAAAAAAATAAAATATAAAATAAAAAGCATTTTAAGGAGATAAAAGCTAATCAGACAAAGACCTGCCTCCAAAATCACACTTATGAGCTAATAAAAGTGGTAAGATTTGCAAAGAAAATAAGTAAATATAAGATGATAATAGTAATGACAATACTTAACAATTCTTAAGCTCTTACTCTGGGCCAGACACTTCACACACACTAATAGTTCCAATGACCCTATGAGAAGTTATCACCCATGATTTGTGGATGCTCAAGCTGAGTCTTACAGGGCCCAGATAATTTTTTGCCAAGGTTAATAACAACTAGAATCCATTAACCATACACACAGACGCCTATATGACATAAGAATAGTATATTGTATCTGATGCCATTTCTGAATGTCAGATACCTTGACAATATTTTAAAGTTTTAATTAGATCTGAATTGAGAGAGTCAAACTCAATGTTGGGAGTCAACATATAACAAAAGACCCAAGTCCCCCTATAGACCAGGACACACTCCAGTGTTTGAGAGTAAACTACTTCTCATATGGTTATTTTCATTGTGTTAAATTTATTCCACTTATCAAGTCCTTTGCCAAGCCTCCTGCCAATTTCACCCCTAAATATTCTTATATCTTGGGCCACTTTCCTTGCAATCACAGGCACTGAATTAAGATTCTGCATATTCACTTATCATTAGCATTTCTCTGATCTCAAGGTCACAATGATCTTATCATTCTGACTCTAGTGCAATTTTTAAAAAATATTTTTTTTATTGAGCCCTAGCCAGTTTGGCTCAGTGGATAAACTGTTATCCTGCAGACTGAAGGGACCCAACTCCAATTCCTGTGAAGGGCATGTACCTTGGTTGTGGGCTTGATCCCCTATAGGGGGAGTGCAGGAGGCAGATGATAAATGATTCTTTTTTATCATTGATATTTCTTTTCTTTTCTCTTTTTTTTTTGTGGGTTGTTTTTTTTGTTTGTTTTTGTTTTTGCATTAATTTTTAGGAAGAGTGAAAGAGAGACAGAAAGAGAAACATCGATGTGAAAGAAATACATCGATTGGTTGCCTCTGCCACATGCCCTGACTAGGGCTTGGGCTGGGGAGGAGACTGCAACAAGGTATGTGCCCTTAACTGAAATCAAACCCAGGACTCTTTGGTCTACAGGTCAAAGCTCTATCCACTGAGCTAACCAACTAGTGCCTCAACATTTATGTTTCTATCTCCTTCTCCCTTCCTATCTGAAATCAATAAGAATATATTTTTTAAAAAGATTTTGTATTGAATTTTAGAGGAGGGTGGGGGGAGAAGAGAGAGAAACATTGATGTGAGAGCGAAACATTAATCAGCTGCCTCTTATACAACCCCTATTGGGGATTGAGCCCGCAACCTGGGCATGTACACTGACTGGAAATCAAATCAGCAACCTTTTCAGTGCATGGGACAATGCCCAACCAACTGAGCCACTCTGGCCAGAGCTCTGGTGCAATTTTTGGACCCATCTGTCCAAGCCTTACTGGTATTATAGGATAAAACACAAATGAATATTTAATATAAATTATTAGTTTTAAAACAAATTTTTAGAAAATGACCCCATAAATCCTCACCTCTAGTATAAAATAATTATTTCATATAACTTCTTAGTCTTTTGTCATATTTGTATTTAACAAAGTTATCATATTTAACATTATAGTGTATGTACAATTGTATCTTTTCTTCCCTGTAACATGCTCAATTGTGTTTATAACCATATTTTACTTATTACGCCTGTATGAATGACTATTCAGGGTGACAGAATGTTTTTGCTACTACAAATTATCAAACAGGTTCGTGCATATAACATTACCAATATTTTAGGTGTTTCACCTAGGTTAGGTCCCCAGAAGTGAGATTACTGTGTTAAATAATTGAAACATTTTTAACTCTCTGGATAAACCTGAGCTTACAAAAAGATTGTACAGGGCACTGTCTTTGCTTTGTTGCACTCATTTAGATTCCCCAAAACACTCAGGGCCTTTGTTGAAGGGATGCCATCTGGTTTACAGATTTCTCTAAAGCCAACGCCCAGCTCCGCATTACCCCAGCGCGTGTCCAGCAAGCACCACTCACCTTCCGCCCTTCCACTGCCCTTCTGCCTACTGTTGTGTAGAGGCAGCACCTCCAGAGACTTGATGCCCGAACTCTCCAGAATATTCACTTCCACTGTCAGCCTCCCCACCAGTTGCTGGGGTCGCACACTGATGACGTGCTCATACTTCCCAAGCCGCCTCTGCAAGAGCTCTTCATAACTCAGGAGGAAGACAGCTTTGTCCTTGCTGGGAATGACCACGGAGGCTCTGAACGTTTCAGTCCCCTTCTCCCTGTATGCAAGGGAAAAGGGATAGAGGGTCAGAGAAAGCCAGATTCCTTGGGGCACAGGCCAAACTGTAGCAGTCCTTACAAACTAAAAGTAAAAATTAGCACAGGGGGTGGGGAAGCAGTAAAGGCTTGTACCAGATGAAGTTTGCAAAGGTCCAAAGTATACTAAGAGTAGAGGATTCACATACTACTGAACTCACCTCCCTCTTCCTGAGTCAGACCCAAGGGGCCAAAGGGGGAAGGGAATGCTCTAATAGGTGAACTGCTGGAAAAAGAGTTTGGGGTCAAGATATAAATTGCATTCTCTTTTTTGAAGGATGGCCAAATAAACCAGACATTTTATATAATTTTAAAATAGCTAATTTAGCCTGGCCAGCATGGCTCTGTAGTTGAGCATTGTCCCGTGAGCCAGGAGGTCACAGTTTGATTCCCAGTCAGGGTATATGCCTGGAGTTTTGTGTTTGATCTCCATAGCGGGCATGCAAGAGGCAGACCATCAATGATTCTTACTGATGTTTCTGTCTCTTTCTGTCCATCTCCCTTCCTCAAAAAACAAACAAACATATATTTTTTAAAAAGTTATCTGTGTATATGTCTTTTAAAAATAGCTAATTTATAAGGTTTTTACATTTTGTTAAGGTTTGATGGATATGCTTAAGGGAAGGGTAAAAAGTAAAGTATCGCAAAGCATATAAAAATACAAATCATTTTAAATGCTTTCATTACTTGGAGTGAGAGTTCTCTGATTCAATATGGCAAACTGACCACAACAGGAAGAGTAAAGCAAAGAAATAAGGGTGGTAGAGGCAACCATCAGCGAGTATTTCAAATCATTTATGGGAGACTTGGGGAATCCTGTAGAACAAGAACTCTACAGCTCAGACTGTGCAGGAAGGGACTGCAGCAAAGTAGAAAAAACATCATCTGCAGAATCTCAGAGACCCCAGGTTCTGATTCAGCAGGACACGACAAGATGAGAGTGAGAAGGGGGCCAAACACAGGGAGGAGAACTCCAAGTTTACATATAATTGAATGAATGACTAAGATGATGGGCTTCCTACACTCCTCTTTCCCAGAGCTGAAAGGAGACAAAAATTGTAAACTTTTTAAAATATATATTTTATTGATTTTTTACAGAGAGGAAGGGAGAGAGATAGAGAGCTGGAAACGTCAATGAGAGAGAAACATCAACCAGCTGCCTCTTGCACACCCCCTACCGGGGATGTGCCCGCAACCAATGTACATGCCCTTGACCAGAATCGAACCCGGGACCTTTCAGTCCGCAGACCGATGCTCTACCGCAGAGCCAAACCGGTTTCGGCAAAAATTGTAAACTTTTATTGAAAGCTAATTAGAATGGAAAACAAAAGCCTGACACTTAAACCCATTATTGTAAAATATCAGAATATCAGGTAGAGAAAACAAAAGGAGTGGCATTAGACCACATTAAATGCATTATCAGTAATACTGGATGTTGTGAGGCACTGGAGCAATGTCTTTAAAGTTCATTGGTAAATTATTCTGAATCTTAAATTCCATGCACAGTCAGCACTTTAATCAAGGTCTCAGAAAGTATGTTTCTCACACACTCATTTTGAGTAAATTAGTACAGAATACACTTGAGCAAAGTGGAAGGTGAAAAAGCAAAAGATATTATGGAATATAAGAAGTTAAAAAAATCAGCCCAGGTAAAAATAAAAAGATATTATGTGACAAGGAAAATATTATGTGACAGTGTTCCATAGTCTGGAGACACCTATTCTGTCATGTTTAACAGCTCAGGAATCAAGATGTGTCTCCCAATTAGTAAAGCCTTCAAGTTGCTGTTAACAATGACATGGGTTCACTGCTTGTCGAAACTTGGTCATAATTGTTCACTTACCATTTCCAATGAGTTATGTGTCTTGCTAGATGTTAATTGTGACAAAATTAAATTTTATCTCATAAGAAAATCAACTAGAAACTTCAGGAAAAAATAGAAATGTGTAGATCTTGGTCCAACTAAACTAAACTGTTGCATGATTCTGAATGATCTGTGAGTTATAAGAAAAGGCAATCCTGATAAGACCATTTGGGGTGGTGAACACACAATATGATGTACAGATGATGTGGTATAGAATTGTGCACCTGAAAGCTGTATAATTCTGTGAACCCGTATCACCTCAATAAATTCAATAAAAATGTATTGCTTTTTTAAAAAATAAATTTTTATTGTTCATATTATTACAAATATTTCTTCCTCCCCCCTCCATTGCTCTCCTCCACCAGGTTCCAACCCCCCCTCTCTGCCCTTTCCCCACCCCCCATTGTCCTCATCCATAGGTGCACAGTTTATGTTCAGTTTCTTTCCACATCCTCCTCTCCCCTTCTCCCCAAGAATAGTCAGTTCACTCCTCTTCCATACCTCTGATTCTATTATATTCAACAGTTTTTAATAATCTGCTATGGCAAAGGGGTATTACATACCAGTCGCATCATAGAACATTTTGCCAAAGAAAGAAAGACACAGGGTGATTATAGGAATGGGGGAAGGGTGGAATGTGGGTAAATGAAGCAGTGTTTGGAAGCTCAAAGAAAAGCAGGGCTTTGTGTAAAACATTTAATATCAGCCTGAATTGAGAAGCAAACTCAAGGTTTTTTGTCCTAAGGAGCTACAAAATTAAGATAAATGTGGACTGTTGTGGCCAACAACCCCTTATCTGAAACTGTGGACCTTGGTTGCTTTTCACTAACAAAATGAACCCATGATTCACATGTTCCATTCTTAATAGTAGGATTTCCAACAGCAAAGTTTCTGACCGTCTATGAATTTAGAGAACAAACTTTCTCAAAGCTACATCCTTTTATTAATGAACAAAATGCAAGCTTACATGTTCACAATGTTTTGTCTAGATACGAAGATGACTTTTCTCCAAACAGGCTGGTGGAGAGGGAAATAGAATCTTAGTATACTTGATGGCTCTACAGTTAATGTTATTTATGTATTATTAAAAGTAGATGCTGCTTCTGGGTTTTCAATGTTTAGGTTCAGTTTATAGATAAAACAAAGATAAAATATTATGACAGATTAGAATTTAAATGTTAGTAACTATGACAATGAAAAAGTAAATTATTAGATAAGAAAAGGTGGGTGCTGGGAATGAAAACAGAAAAGGATAAAATGCAGGAGAGAGATTATTACTAAAGATTGTGGGGCTAGTCTAAGATGGTGTAACTGCTAAAATGGATGTAAGAAGAAAGACTAATAATGTAAATATTTGGAACACAGAGGGAGAATGGAAGCATTGTAATTGAAATCCTAAGATTTCACATATAGATTCAACAAATAATATCTGATTTTTATCAAGAAATTTGTAAAAATCAAGACTATAATAATATTTAGAGTTATGGAGATTAAAAAAATATAGGAATAGTAGAAGTGGATGTTTCTAGGAAGTGGGAGTGCTAAAATATTCTTTTTTACTATAAATCCTTATTTATTATACTGTTAACCAAGTGTATTATTATTATTATAAATAAGAAAATAAGGAAGAAAGAGCTCAAGATGGCTAAGCAAAAAGGTAGAAAATTTGACACTTTGCTACAGTGAATTAGTAATTTGTTAATTAAGAGTACTCACCCATTATCTTCTGTGGTTTTATTCCTTTCCTCTTTTACCTTATCACCATTTTTCTTTTCTCTCTCTGTAATTTCTCCCTGATACACTGTGTCTCCAATTAGCCTGAAAGTAAAAGACAGCTGTGTTAGCAGTTTGCAGTTCCAAGACAAATGCATGGATCTCATAACCATGACAACAGTAAAAAAAATATTTTTATTTGCCTCTTGGATATGCAAAAACTGCATTCCAACCCAGGGAACCACCCTTGAATCATTCGTTTCATTCTAGGGCAATTTTCAACAGGTACAAATGTTAAGACACAACTCAAGGTGTCTCTATGATTCTTCTGGAAGAAATCAGAAGATCTGCTCAGACAAACTTCGATGATAATCCATCAGCTTGAATCTATAAATCTGAAATTTAGGCCCAAGCCTAACATTCAAACCAAACACCTCCCTCTTCTGCATATCTTTACCATCCACTAGGAAAAGAAGAACTATATCTAACATAGCCAACGTTTCATGCTATCTTGTCTTTCAGATCTCAACTTAAACATTGCCTCTTCTGAGCCATCTCCCTGATTTCCCTACCTATACTAGCCCCTCTCAATTTTGTTTGCTTTCTTTATAGCATTTGCTACTGTCTGAAATTTTCTTATGTATTGATTTGTTTACTTATTATTATTATAAAATTTCTAGTGCAGAGCAGCGTTATCTCTTTCATAGATGTGGACAATCATTTTGAAGAGGGCCTGGCCCAGAGTGGATATTCATTTGTTGGAAGGAAGGAGAGAAAGAAAGAGGAAAAGAAAAGGTCATGGAAAGGTGGAAGGAAGGAAGAGAGAGAAGGAAGAAGAAAGAAGGGAAAGAAGAAAGGAGGGAGAAAGAGAAAGAGAATCAACCTTCTGGCCCAGTATCATCCACTGGGAAATAAATTCTCACAGATCAAAGGCTGTGGGCCACACATCAGCTCAGGCTCAGCCTGTCCACCCCTACACAGAAATCTTCAATCCAGACGCTCTGACCATGTCACCTACATAGTAAAGTTGGTGATGAAAGCTGCGGCTGGAATCTGCATCAGAAACTCAATTTCTTGGTCCTCAGAAGCTCTATTCAGCATTCTGCAGGAAACCGTTGTGAAGGCATAGCGAGAAATAATGGTAGACTTCACCGAGAATTCTGTCATCAAAGGTTTGGTTTTCTGTTGGAATTAAAACACAGTATTTTCAATGATGTGTGAAACTATGACTCAGCCATTTGGGGAAAAAGTGGGGATTTTTTTCCATAGGAGAAATAGCCTTCAATTTGGGACAGTTTAGCATGTAATTCTTTACTTCTGTCCTTGTCTTTCCTGACTTTACCACTTTTTACTCCTTCCACTTGTAAGACAACCATGATTGAATAACCAGTTTATGACATAGGAACAAATCTTCTGGCCTAACTTTAACAAATGCACAGTTAATATTTCTAATTTAACAGACACTATGCACTACTTAAGTTCTTTAATGAGTTATTGAAATTTTAGAAGTTTATAAAGTATATAAAATTTTTCTGTTATAAACATTTAGGTCACATTTATAGAATCACCAAATTGATCAAAAATCAAAGCATGCCTAAAGAAGTTCTCATTTTTCAAATTAATTTCATTACCCACTTAAAGACACTATAATCCTGACTTTCCCATTTAGAGTATAACCACATTATTGTAAAATGAAAATCAATACTGAGCTCTAAAAAGTACTGGGGGATTTAGAACCCAAAAAAAGGAAGACTTATGCTAATTAAATTTATCCTAAAAGATTCTGATAAGGGCTGTACCTACTCCTTTAAGAAAATATTTGTTGATCCCTAGTCTACACTATTTGAATAGATAAGGCCCTGATATCCATCATTATATATTGGTGTGTTTTAGGAAGAAATCTCAAATTATACAGCTCATAGACTTTTTTATTTGACTTGCACAATATTTAAGTTTTGGTGACATTTAAAAATTAGGAAAGATTGCATAAAAATCCATAATGCCCATTATTCCTGAAACACAAAGTGGGACCACTCTAGCTATGCATGTCTGCATGATCAGGAGTTGCTGGCTCTAGTGCTGGCTGCTTCTTTAGATCAGACCCAAACATATCCCATAGTCCCAACTCCTCAGGCCCTTCCAATCCACTTGTCTCATTGATACTGAGGCTGATACCAAGTGGCCATTTTCACTGTGGTTTTACTGGATTTTTCCTTATTCCCAGCCTATTCCCTCATTGATGTCCTCTGTTCTACTAGATAAAAAGTGCCCACAATTGCACACCTGTATTTATAGCAGCACTTTTCACAATAGCTAAAATGTTGAAACAACCCAAGTGTCCACTGATAGGTGAATAGACAAACAAGAGATAGTATATGCAGACAATGAAATGCTATTCAGCCTTTAAAAGGCAAAAAAATTCTGACACATGTTACAACACAAATGAACCATGAGAACATTAGGCTAAGTGAAATAAAGCAGACATAAAAGGACAAATCCTTTATGGGATTTTGCAAGATAAAAAGAGTTATGAAGATTGAAGGTGGTGATGGTTGCATGACAGTGTGAATGTACTTAATACCACTGAACTGTATACTTTAAAGTGTTAAGGTAAATTTTGTGTTATGAGTATTTTACTATAATTTCTAAAAAGAAAGAAAAATAATATTTTAAATGGACACAGATTCTTTGCTTTTTGTACCTTTGAGAGCTGGAGTTTTATTCACTTCCCTGTGAATCCTGGCCTCAGTGACTTCCTCACCTGGAGAACCCACTGGAAGTGATGACTAATAGGCCAGGTCATAGGAAACTTTGACAATTCCAACCAGGTCTCTCAGAACACACTCTTTGGAGGCTCTGAGTTACCACATTAGACTGAGGCTGACATGCTGGACAGGCCACGTGTAGGCTCTGCAGTTGCTGTGGCAATGGAGCCCAGATACAATCATTCCTGCCCAGAGCCCAGCACATGAGGCAAGCTGTAATGAAGCTTCGAGATCAGTGCATCTGCCAGCTGAGTAGCACTTGGGCTAGCTCCATCCACATCATGTGGCCAGAAGACTCGCTCAGCCCAAACCTTGCCCTACAAATGGTGCAATAATGGTTCTGGCTTTAAAGCCACTGAGTTTAGAGAAGATTTTTATGCAGCATAAAACTGGAACTCCTGCCTCGTCTCTTTAGACATTTTAGGGTTTGCAACACTACTGTAGGGTGTCTTGTGCTTGAGTGAGAGTTAGTCATTTTGCCACTTATTTTTAACTTTATATTATACTATTTCTGATCTCTACATGTTTTATTTGTTTTGTTTTATGAACTAGACTTCTGCACATTAGAAATACCCTTGAAATCCTACCGGAAGAAGTTACAGTATAAATTATAAAGACAAATATAAAGAATAAAATTCTCAAGTTCAATCCTCTTACTTACCAAGGTGACCAAAGGCCACACAGGTATGAGGTGATAAACCTAACTCAGGAACCTTGAGTCTCTGACTTCCAATCGTGCCTCTTTCATCAAGCATTCATGGAGGAGCCTGACCATTCTCAGCTTTCCACACTGATCATTATTAGATGGCCAGTGAAATACAGACCTCCAGAAGCATGCCAAATATACCAATTCAAAACTTACCTGTGAACCTCAGTGATCATCCATTAAATTGTCCACATTTAAGAACTAGACATTAAGCTGAACCTGTTCTGCACTGTGGTCATATTCTGACATTTTTCCAAAAATCCATGTCAACCTATCACTTAACTCTTTTACATAAAAGTATAGTACTTTCGGGGGAAAATCCTTTTAAGTTCATATCTTATTAATAGATAAGAGTATACACTCTCGCTGCATAGCATTCCAAATAATTTAGCCTTAAGCAAATAGTCCTTGCCCACACTATTCTTAAAATAGTTAAAAATCATCTTCATAACCAGTGGGCACAGATACTAGGGGAGCATATGCTGGGGATGCAGGTGGCCAGGGAGAGGTCAATGGGGGGAAAGAAGACATATGTAATACTATATGCAATACTTGAAACAATAAAGAATTTTTTTAAGTCGTCTTTGCTTGGTACATCTGTGACTATTTTGATGTCTTGTTGATTTGTTATTATTTATGATTATCAATTATCATTTCATTGAACTTTAAAAGTGAAAATTAGATACACCTCACAAAAGACTAAGTTTACCTATATTATGGTATTTTCTTTTGCCTTAAATTAAGATTATGGATATAGCAGAATTTTCCACAATATTACATCAAGAATAGGAACCATATTTATGGTCCAAAAGACAGGCTGAGGAAAGTTTTAAAAAACTATTTTAGTTTTACTGCTTCTGCCCAGTTACTGTTTTCCCAGAGGAGCCTCTGCTATTACTTTTGAGTCATAGCTCTTGCCTTTCTGTTACAGCAGTCTACAATCTATTGAAATTAATTATGTACAAAGCTGTCCCCCACTTCCCTCAAGCTACTCATCCCTTATCCTTATCCCTATTAGATTGTAAACATGTGGAAAACAGAGACCAAGGCTTACTCTTTTTATTTTCACTTCAGCTCTCAGTATGGGGTAAAAATAAAAAACATATATGGAATTTAATTGGATTTTCTGAATCTTGAACATTTAAAGAAAAATACATACCCCAAGAAAATAAATGCTAATAAACTAATATTTATTAACCACTACAATAGACTAAATTCTATAAAAGATGAGGAAGAAATGTTAGATATGGTTTCTTCTCTCAAGGCACTACAATCACACTGGGAAGAAAGTGCAACATAGAAAGTATCTTTAACTTATTGACTGTAAGTCCTTAGAGTTTTCAGAAGAAAGAGAAACCAGTGAGGTATGTAGAAGTAAGAAAGGGTTTTAAAACAGACATATTTATATGTGGTGAAAGAAAACAAAAAGGATATTCTAGAAACACAAAATTCATGGAAGTAGAAATGAACCACATTATGCTTTGTTTCTGGAACAAAGAACAGAACAGTTTAATTAAAAAGAAAGATACATTGTGAGAAGAATATTGGTCAGGTATGTCAAATCATAAGGAAATGGACAGCACCAAAAGCTAAGTACAAAACTTGAAATGGCTGATGTTCGTGTGTCATAAAAAGAAAGCTATAAAACTGTTGCTTCGATTTCTCCCGGTACACAGTTCTTAAAAATCCAACATGCTTTTTTATATTTAATTCATTTTGCTTGGAGATGTCAACTGGAAAATAGGGGGTAAAAATCAAGTCTTCCTGTGACATAATAATTTCTTCATCATTTTTCTACAAAAGCTAAACAGATGGAAAAGCAGTTTGAGGCAGGGAGTGTCTTAATTAGCTTCTCAAGGGAGCAAACGTTTCTGTGTGATTCATGTGAGTCACTTAAAATCAAGCTACCCAGAGGATGTCCTGAATTACCCAAGATGCCATCTGAAAATGTAACTGAGGGATGTTTGTGACGGTATTTGCCAGAAGTCAGGCCTCTTACCAGAAGATTAACCTTTTCTTATTTTATTCTGGTCTCACAGTTCTTTAGTGATCATTAGGATAATTAATTCTGGAGTTGGGGGAGAACCTTAGCAATCATCTAACTGAGCTACCCTCACTATATGAAGGAAAAATCCGAGGCTTAGCATGAAAAACAACAGAGCCCATGTTATTACATGAAGCAGAAGACCTCCAGATAAGGCACCTTCCTAACAAGGCACTTATCACCGTGGAGAAATAATGTACCCTCTGTAGATGGAAGGTGACATCAGCCTGAATTGACTGTCTGTGGTAATAATTCTACATAGCAATGTTGCACATTCAGAAGAGGAGAAAGATAAAATGCAATCATCACCTTTATGTAGGAGAAAAACCTACTCTATACAACGTCTAAAAGGGATAAAACATGGTGGTTAAAGCTGGGAGTAGGAAGCCAGACACAGGTAAAACAAACCCTCTTGTGAGGTAATGACATCCAGCACCATGCTACCTGCTGTATTAACTGTACTTTCTGTTTTTCTATATTCTTGATGCTCTGGCATTTGAGTCTTTGATCCCATGGATAGCTAATTCCTAGAGATAACAAACAACTTCCTGTGAACACGCCTTTGATATACAACCAACAGTCCAGAGTCCATGCTCCCAAACACCTCATTTATCAAATTCTTACACAATAGTCAATATTCGTCTGCCCTAAAACACCCCCAGATAACTAGGGTCCACCTCAATAGCTCAGAGCTTGCCAAAATTATTCAAACTATCCAATCCTAAGGTTACTCACCAATTCCTTCCTGCAAAATAAATAAATAAATAAATAAATAAATAAATACATACATACATAAATAAATAAATAAATAAAGGCAGGCTCTGAGCCATGCCCTCCCTCTGCCCCTTCTTTCTGCCTCCTGACTGATCCTGGCTTCCCCGTGTGGGCCTGCATGGTGTGCTATGATCCTGTTCCTACAAATCTGTGAATATAAATTTCCTTTGTGATGATCATTTCTGGGTTCACCTTTCTCACCACAATTGCTTAAAACAAATTCAGTCTACAAATTTTAGAATATCCACTATGATGGAGATGCTAGACATGGCCCTTCCCATTGGTAGGTGAAATTCTGACAATGAATTGTTTTAGGGAAACCAGGCCAGTATCTGTTAAGCACCACAGAGACTTAGGCACAAAGACATCCTTGCTTAAACTATAAACATTTTTGTGTTTGTGATGTCAAAAGGCATCACAAAAAGGGTATTTAATTAATTCAGGATACAGAGTCAGGCAGGAGCCAAATCACACAGTGCCTCACATGTTCTTAGAGTTAATCCTACAGGGGATGAGGAATCATTGAAGACATTTGTAAAAGAAAGTCTGCTGGAAAGATCATTCTGGTGCCAATTGAATGGGCAAATAAGGTTCATGTTAAAAATTATAATACATGTGAAAGAAAGACTTTTAAAATTCCTAGAGATTTCAAGTTCTAGCTGGTTTGCTCAGTGGATAGAGCATTGGCCTATGTACTGAAGGGTCCTGGGTTCAGTTCCAATCCTGGTCCAGGGCAGGTACCTCAGTTGCAGGCTTGATTCCCAGCCCTGGTCAGGGTACATGCAGGAAGCAACCAACTGATGAGTCTCACATTAATGTTTCTCTCTGTCAGTCTCTCTTCCTTCCTCCCACTCTCTCTAGAAATCAATGGGAAAATATCCTTGGGTGAGGATTAACAGCAACAACAAAAACTCTTAGAGTTTTCTAAAAATATCTGGGCAATTACATAAACAGTCTCAGTCATGGGGTTAAGAAAATTTGCGTAACCAAGAATGAAAACTCAAAGACTAAAAAGAAAAGATGAACTCATTTGCTACTTAGACACTTAAATTTTTCAAATGACCAATATGCCATAAACATAGTTAATAGACAAATGACATATTTAGGAGAGAATTATTTCAACTTAGAAGACAGAATATATCTGAAGTACTGACAAATGAAGATATCTGAAGTACTGACAATTAGGGTATAAAACTATACAAGAGGAAAATGAGTAAAAGATCTGAAAATAATCAATTTACAGAAGAACTTTGAATGGACAAAAATGAATAGGAAAAAAATCATAAGTAGTTAGGGAAATGCAAGTTAAAAGAACAATAAGAGACAAGCAAATCAAAAGAGGGCAATTCTATCTATTGTTAGTGGAAATGTGCATATTCATTATTGACAGAAATGAAGTTAATACAGGTAGTATAAGAGTAACAGCATTCAAAAAGTAGTCTGAAAACATCTATCATAATTTAAAGTGTATATGCATTTTAATCCAGCAATCCTTCTACTGAAAATCTAGGACATTATGTTAAATAACCACATAACAGAATAAACAGAAAGTTATTTTGCAGCAGTATTTACAGAAAGGGATAAAATCTAGAAACAAATTGAAAATTCATCAATAGAATGCTAAATAAATTATGGTGTGCCAACAACAAGAATTATTTCTCACCATCTAAAAGAATGGCTAGCCCTGACTGGTTTGGCTCAATGGATAGAGCGTTGGCCTGTGGACTGAAGGGTCCCAGGTTCGATTCTGGCCAAGGGCATGTACCTTGGTTGCAGGAACATCCCCAGTAGGGGTTGTACAGGAGGCAGCTGATCAATGTTTCTCTCTCATCGATGTTTCTAACTCTCTATCCTTCTCTCTTATTTTCTGTAAAAAATTAATAAAACATATTGAAATAAAATGAAATGAAAGAATGTTTAGAGGTAGTCCAGTTGAAGTATTATTGATTAGAAGTACCGTGTTTCCCCCAAAATAAGACATGCCCCGAAAATAAGACCTACTTATAGGTTTCCTTCTGAGTGAAATATAAGGCGTCCCCCCAAAAAATAAGGCCCTCCTACGAGTCACAAGAAATTCACCAGGAAATTCAGGAATTGGATTGTTATGGTGATGTTCCAGAAGATGATGACATGATTGTCATTGAATAAATGAGTAAATTCTTGATACTGTAGGATTCACAGTTTGTCTGGTTTCTGTTGACAACTACTGTACTACCGTGCCGAATACAAGTAATAAATTTCCTTTATTTTCATTTAACAATAAATGTGTACCGTATTCTTCTTCATGGAAAAATAAGACATCCCCTGAAAATAAGACCTAGCGCATCTTTGGGAGCAAAAATTAATATAAGATACTGTCTTATTTTGAGGGAAACAGGGTAATAATCAATAGAAAAGTACATATAATTGAGAAGGCAGTTTGGTGTATTAGTTAAGTGCACATACTGTTAGGACTCAAATTCTGTTTCTTCCCTCTTTTACTAATTGTGCAGTTTAGAGAAAGTTACTCAATCTCTCTAAAGCTCAGTTTTCTCATCTGTAAAATGCCTCAAACAATTGTGGCAAGAGTGTTTGAACTATGGCACATGACACACTTGGAAGAATGCTTGGCACATAGTAAGTACTCAGTACACATTAGCTGTCATTATAGGAACTCCCTGGAAAGTAGTGATCAGAAATCTCATAGATGCAAATGTGTGTAAGGTCCCCCCATCTTCCTCTGTTCCGGTATTTGCCATCTTCTCCATTACTAGTACACCTATAATTTATTTGTTTACTTTATCTCTGCCCCTCTCTAGAATTCAAGCTCTGTGACAGGCAGGGTCTTTGGTCTGTCTTGTTCACTGCTATATAGCCAATTCTTAGAACAGTGTGGGGCAAAAAGGAAGCATTCAAAAAATTATTTGGTGAGTGAATGCCTGAATTAAAATCTGTTAGCTTCCAACATGCATTGAGAGCCTTGCTTAACTCATATCACATGAAGCTTTACTCTACAAATGTGAATTTTTTATTTGCTTTAGTTGTTTGTCTCACAATTTTTTATTTGCTTTAGTTGTTTGTCTTCTTGTCTCACAAGAAGGCCTTTATTTTTGTATAAGAATGTCATAAAAAAGTAAAGGTGAATTTAGGTGTGTGTGATTTTTAGGAAGGCCTTAAAAACGTCATACTTTGTCCTTATAATCCTACTAAAATAATAAGGTGTCTTAACAGAAAGAAAACTCCACTTAAATAAAATCTTATAAAAGCTACACCGTTTCATGTTAAAATCTGTCTACAAGCAACTTTATTAGCTTTGGGGGAACTATAAACAAAGTTAGTGCCTGGTTCAAAATACACAGCCAGTGAGGGGACAGATGTAAGATGCGCCATGAATATACATACCAGCCTTTGCAACAGCCGGAGTTGCCTCGGGACCCTGAGTCCAACCTATAAAGAGAAGAGTCATGAAATACGACTGTGAGGTCATTCTTAAACAAATTAGTTACATGAGGAGGTTAAAATCAATTGAACTTCCCCAAAAGGGCTATCTATCCTGAAAAGCGGTTTTGATCTTTAATCAGAAAGATTCTAGGCCAGAACTTGAATTAACCCCTCCCAGGCTTGGTTGACTGCTGAACCCATGATGGCATATTACCTCGTTTTCTGAATGACCTTAAATCCGTTAGAGGAGTATGGATGAAATGACAAGAACACAAAGTTCATCTGTATTGCTTCACTTAATTTGGGCTTGAAAATAAGTTCATTGCTGTTGTATCCATTACAGTAAGTAAATGGGTTTGGACTTACTCAAATATTCAACTCAAAACTAGGAAAACTCTGGAAGCAAAACTGAACTAACTTGAATTTTCTTACTTTGTTTTTTCCTGATGATTTGCTACACTTTCCCACTTGAAGAGGAGGAGCATGGGAAGATGATAAGATCCTCATTTTCAAAAATCATACTAATGAGCCAGCCATTCTGGACTAATTTAAAAGTCCTACCTGGTTGTTGAAATTTACTCATGGCAAATCACTGTTTAACTTAACCGTGAACTATTATTGCTCTGAGTATAAATAGTCCTTTCTGGAGGCAAGTTGCCAACGTAGATCAACACTTGAAAAAATATGCCTAAGTCTTATGTATATCTATTTTTAACAGCTTTATGAGGTATGATTTAAAGTATACAATTCAATGTTTTAGTATATTTGGAGAGTTGTGCAATGATCAATTTAGAAGACTATTGTTTTCCCAAAACAAACCCTGTACCCCTCAGCTGTCAACTCCCTACCCTTGCACTTCTGTCTGGTCCTAGGCAACAACCAATCTCTTTTGTTTCTCTAGATGGGCACTTCTGGACATTTCTTATAAGTGGAGTCATACACATGCTGTCTTTTATGACTAGCTTTTTTCATTTAGCATAATCTTTTCAAGATTGTTCCATGTTGTAGCATGTGTTTATGCTTCATTCTTCTTTGTGTCTGAATAATATCCAGTGTATGAATATGCCACATTTTGTTTATCCACTCATCAGCTGATAGACTTTAGATTATTTTCACTTTGGGGCTATTATATGGAACTTGCATGAAAATTCACATGCAAACCTTGACTCTGGGTATATATTTTTATTTCCTTCAGATACTTAACTGGGAATGGAATTCTTGGGTAGTATAGTAAATCTAACTTTTAAGAAATTGCCAAACTGTTTTCCCAGTGGCTGTAACATTCCCACCATACGAATGTACAAGAAAATTCTTTGGAACTTTTCAAACAATTGTTAATAATTGGAAATAGACTAAACTACCCTTAAAAAGTGGTTTAATTAAATATTTTGTGATACAAAAAATTAGGTAGAATACAGCTATTAAAAATAATGATGTGGATCTATTTTTATTGACATCAATAAATATTCATTTTACTGGACTTCAGTACTGTTCAAGAAATATTTCTCTAGCTCTCTGCCAAATGTACTACATTTCCTGGTCCCCTTGTGGCACAGTAGGGTCATCTGAATGGTTCTGGCCAATAAGGTATGAATGTAAGCAACACTTGTCACTTCTGTGCCAACGGTTCAACATCAGATGTGTAATACTGCAGAAATGTCTTTTCTTTGTGGCACAGTAATTAGCAGCATTGAGATGGTAGCTGCTGGTCAAGTCCAAATTCCTGAGTGAGCACAACGTGCATATCTTCTTCCTTGCCAACCCAAGTTGGACAAGTTGTATAAACGAGAAATAAACATCTGTCATCTGAGACATTGCGATGTGGGTGTTGTTACCACAGTATAGCCTAGAGGATCCTGATGGATTTATTAGTGATACATGTTTATGTGATTAAATCAAATGACAAAACACTATATTTAACATGACCTCATTGTTGTAAATATAAGTGTTTATATGTAGAATGTGAACCAAAATGCTAATGGTGTTACCTTTGGGTGATTGAGTTCCTTTCCTTTAAATTTTTCCATGTTACTTCAGTTTTTGACAAATTAGCCATTATTACTTCCTTTATTTCTTTTATTAGAAATCAGAAAAATATGTTTCTATTTGTAAACTAAAAGTATAACAGAAACTATTTTAATCCCCATCCTCTCCCTGATCCTCCCTCCAATACCCCCCCAAAAAAATATACTATTGTAAATTACCATTATAATTGGAATTCAAAGGAATAATATAGGACTTAGATTGACATCTTCCCTGACTCCAAATGAGAACCAAACACTGACTAGGAGGATACTGGTTTCTATTTCTAAAATGAGATGGGCTACGAGAAACTGTTTAAGGAAAGTCACAATAAGCATCCTGGGCAAGGTCTTCATCAGTACTGCAGATTCATCTCTGGCCTTCCCATCCTAAAATTGTGAAATTGTCTGGGGACCACTTAACAGAACTAGATTCCAAAGGAAAGCCCGGCCTCTCTCAGGTATTAAGTTCTCTGATTGATCTAAAGTATTTTCTTTGAAGTTCCCTCCTCTGTAAAATAAGTTTTTTAAGAAAATAAACAAGCTTCAAGGAGAACAAGAGAAGTTGGTTTTTCATTTTTGAGATGACTATCTGACGTCTCAGGGGGTCATTATGGCTTCACTTCAGTCCAAGTTTAAACTCAGATTGAACCAGAATCAAAGCTTCCCGGTGTACGCAGCTTCCTGGTGCCAGCTAGGACTGAAGTGGAAATAACACCAATGAAGTCATCACTGTTTTCAGTAAAGCATTCCTGATCCCTTTTACTGCATTAGAAGAATCTTGGAGTGGTGGCTTAAGTGACTCCAGCTTAATGTCAAGGACTGCTATGCAGAACAATCTTAGAGCTTTCCCCAACCTGCCTGGGACACCAAATCATAGACCTAAGAGTTGGCACAAATAAAATTTTTTGGTCTTCCTAAACTGAACTTATCTCTCCAGCATTAGAATAGAAAATGGCCAGGCCACACATTTATTAAGCTGCACCCAATCAGTGTGGCTGAGTTGGTTAAACATCATCCCTTGCACGAAGGGGTTGCCCATTCAATTCCTGGTCAGGCCACATGCTTGGGTTGCAGGCTTGATCCCCAGTTGGGGGTGTGCAGGAGGCAGCTGGTCGAGCATGGATATTTCTATCTTTCTTTCCCTCTCTGTGCCCCTTTCTCTCTTAAAAAAAATTAATAAAAAAGAAAGAAAAAGAAATGGAAAATAGAATGTACTATGTTCTTGAACGACAATGAGAGACTTTGTGATGAAGGTGTGGCTACAACTAGTTGTATAGGATGTCTGTTGAAATGGGATGAAAGGGAAGGAAGAATTTAAGAGAATCAGGTTCAATACAGGAACTATGTGAAAAAAATGGTCAGTTTCAAAGGTCTGCCACTGTCTCTTCAACTCACATGGGCCAAGTAGCATTCACTACCAGGAGATAGAAGAGTGGCTGAAGAGTTCTTTGCACAAGGAATGTAAATATAGAGTTTACAATCTCCCCCATCTAGACCATCATTAGTTAGATCAAAAACAGCAGGCACTACTTAAATGTTTATAAGTTGATTCACAGAGATTTATTTTTTCCCAGGATCCATCACAGTGCTGTATCACGAATGGAAGAGAAGAGAAATATCTTTAAAAGTCCATAAATGAGAAAGAGCAGGGGAAGAGAAGAGAGCAGAGAAGCTTAATTCTACCCATGGTGAAAGAGACTCTAAAAACATACAGCATGTACATTGCCTTTTGGTGGATACTCTAAAGACCAGGATTGATGGAGACATCAAAGCAGGATTCTTGCCTTCCACCTTCATTTCACTGGGTCTGTGAATCTAGGTCCCATACAGAGCCAAGAGACACTACACTTGGCTCATCCACATACTATCAAGTGACTGATCATGAGTTCCGAGAGGGTTCTGTACTGAGAATTCATCTACCAGTCAGCCCCAACATCTGAGGGCATTCAAAAATCCCAGGAACCCAGGACTCGGTTGCCTCAAAGATGTGTTATAGGATCTGTCACAAAGCAAAGGCTTCAGGTTGGAAAAGCACTGGAGGTACCATCAACCACCTGGGCTGAGGACAGTTAGCCTGACAAGATTCCCAGGTGGGTAATTTTATATCACTTACACAAAAGTTTTCTTCCTTTAGAGCAATGTTTCCCAAACTTTTGACATATGTGTATCCCTTGTATAATTTTTGTAACGCTGAGTACCCCTCGTACTCATGAGAACGTAGAATTAGGCGCAGCTAAGCACAGTGCAGTGCATATGCCCACCAAACTCTGGTGTAACACGTACCCCCACCAAACTCTTCCCGTTCCCCTGGGGGTACGCATACCACACTTTGGGAAACACTGTTTTAGAGTAATGTTGCTGCAGGTTGTTTAGTTATTAAACATTTGCAATTTGGGGTGCCTAAAATCTCAGTAATGAAAGAAGAAACTTCATTTTGGGGCTACAATTTCCAGGCAACTTTTTAAAAAAAAAATCAACTAGCTTTAAGCAAGTCATTGTTTCTTTTGACTGTGAAAAACAAGGGACATGGACCTTGCTTGTAGAAAAGTAATAAGGAGGTTCAGGATCCCTATCCTTCCTCAAAGAGCTTCAGTCTCATCTCTTGGTCCCATCTACTTAAATAGACTCTGCTGTTCCTTAAATACAAAAGTTTGCTGGATGCACTGGCATGGCTCAGTGGTTGAGCATCAACCTATGAACCAGAGGTCATACTTTGATTCCCAGTTAGGGCACATTCTCGAGTTGCAGGCTCAATCCCAGGAGGCAGGCGATCCATTATTCTCTCTCATCATTGATGTTTTCATCTCTCTCTCCCTGTCCCTTCCTCTCTAAAATCAATACAAACATATATATATAATTTTTTTAAAGGGTTTGCTGGGTCCTCCAGTGGAACTCTGACGCACAGTAAGCAAGACTGTTTAGTGGTTGAGATCTAGGCTCTGAGAAGAGGGCTAGTTGGGAATAAGAAGTCACTACAAGTCATCACCTGATTCTTAGAACCTCTGCCCTCCCGACCTCCCCCCCACCCACCCCACACACACACTTCCACCTTCCTCAGAGAAACACAATATGCTGGTTTGCTAGTGAGCAGATTTCTGGAATCTCTCCCACAATGTCCACCTTCCCTACTCAACTCACACTTTATTTCAACAATCCCATCCATGCACATAAAGAAGACATTGCTGAGTGCTCTGGAATTCACACAATCTTATACTGGTTTAATTTTCAGAGTTTTAAAAAACAAAAAGAAAAAAAAACCAGTCATCTTATTTTCTGTGTTTTTCCAAAAAGCAAAGAGGTTTAGTTCTGAGTGAGAGATTATGAAAAATTAAAACTCCAGAAATTCTTAATTTAAGGAATTAGAAATGTTTCACCCCAATCAGTATGGTCCCACAAGCATATATTAAACACTATCTATTTGCCAACGACTGACTATAAGTAAAAATTGCATTGAAACAAGTTACAGGAGCTTGTCAATGAAGTGGCTTGCTCTTTGGAGGAGTCACTGAGAGCTGCCTTTGGTATCGGCACACCTGTGCTCTGCTCCCTCTGTGCACACAGGAACTTGGGATGTCACTCCTCTGGCTGGATTTCCATGCTTCCCCTGGTTAAGTAGCACACTGACACTCTCCCTGCAGTGCTTAATCAGGCTGTAGATAAGTGCAAAAACAGTGACTATGACCATAGACAAGTGCTTTGCCTGAATTAATTCATTTAATCTTCACAACAGTCATAAGAGCAGAAGTGGGTTTACTATTTATATTTAATATGTTATTTAGAAGCTAATAAAATATAATAAGTTTCAGAACCCCTCGCAGGCATAGTCCCTCATCAGTGAGGGATACTTGTGGTGTTTGTCAGCTTGTCAGCTGTACCATGTGCTGTGACTTACTTAACATCCTAAGTAAATGTTCACTTTAGCACCTAATTTGTAGTCATGCATTGATATTCTTTGCTTTAAGAGGGCCCTGCAAATTGTGTAAACTTTACTCCTCTCTCAAAACTTTTATCTACCCCTGTCTATGGGTAAAAACTATTAGCAATTCTGGCTTGCAGATGATGAAACTGAGACTCAGAGAGCTTAAGTTTCTTGCCCAAGAACACACAGCCAATACAGAATGGAGCACAGGCAGTCTGGCTCCACTTGGAATGCTCTTTAATCATACATTTAATTGCTTTTTATTATTTTTACATAGAGCTCCTAGCAAACTTTCTGGGAGAGTATGGACCTTTAATAGTTGATTATTATTTTATAAATTAAAAACTGCTTTTGTAATAACAGGAATATAGTGCTATCCTTATTTAAAGAAACTATATCAATTTGAAACTTACAAAACAGATAAATTTGTAGCAGGCTGATTTTATACAAGAGACTTCTACTTTAACATTCATTCCTGAAAGCAGATTATTCTAGGTGTAGTCCACAGATCACCAGCATCAAACCTAAGGAATCTAAACTGATTGGAGTGGGGCTCTCAGAAATGTGAATAGAGTGTCTTTTTGCACACCAACGTTTGAAAAACACTGCTCACAGTATTCCTACTGTGGGTGATATTGTTTACAGATGAGGTAGAGGGAAAGTGAGAAAGAATCTGAATCCAAAGTGTTACTATAATACCTCCAATTAAATGTAAATGACAAATAAGAGAACTTCTTAGAAGTTGCAATGCAATGCCATTTAACATCCAGTTACATAAGACAAATTGAATTTAGTCCAGTGGGTGGGGAGCGGGTGGGAATTTGAATTTACATATAGTTGTGAAGACCACAATTTTGAGAATAGAGCACACACTACGTTTGTAGGTATTGTTCTCAGTTTTAAGTATACTATTAATTCTATCAATTTTCAAAATGTTTTTTATTAAGTCACTTCATCAGCCACATTCTAGAGATGGGGAAATCAAAGCTCAGATGTTAACACTCAGAAAGTCTGATTTTGGAGCTCATGCTCCTAAATCCTATATAACAATAAATAAATATCAAATAAATATTTTAGTAGAGCAGTGATAGAGAGGTAAAATTGCTAATTTCCACAGGTCCCTATATCTTGGTGTGTGTTTTCTGAGTCATTATCAAGATGAATGAATAGGACCATGGCTTGAAGACAGCATGAAATCACTAAGCCCATGTTATGTTGTTATGAGGGAGAGTTGAGAGTGGTAAAAGCCTACTTGGACTTGCAGATGTTAGAGCTTTAATCCCTCCTCCTAGTTCATAAACAGAATCTTTGTTTCAGTTCTTCCCACACTCTCCTTCCTCCATCCTCCCAGAAAACATGTTAAAATCTTTACCCTAAATTCCTTTCCTCAGCACTTCAGCTGCCCAAGCCTACCAGCCAGTGCCAGCATTAAGTTCTGACATTATTCCAAGCACTTTAAGTCTACCAGCTATTCAATCCTTACCACCCTATTCTTTCCTACACTTCACAGAACTGGAAATTGAGGCCCCAAGTAAGGTGCCTAGTATCCTAGAGCTGGTAAGTGACAGAATCAGGAATCAAGTCCAAGCAGCCTGGAGCCAAGCCCACTTCCTTAACCTCTTACTAAAATATCACCATTTATTAAGTGCCCACTGTATACTTTCACACAGATCAGCAGCTGAATACTTTGGAGTATTGTCAAAAGGAGATCTACTCCCCGCTGTGAGCAGCAGGAAGGAAAGAAGAGGCAGGGAATTAAACCACTTGTCCAGGCCACACAACTATAAATGGCCAAGACCAGCCTTCCCTCTGGAACCTCAGCCTGCACTTTCCCCACTCCACACACGGACTCCAGGAATTTTTATGGGTTATTTCTCCTGACAACCCTACAAGAAAACGACCATTTCTTCCACTTTTCAGGAAGCACATCCATGAGGCAGAGTCCCCATGAACGTAATCATTTGATGTTTGGGCAGATTCCATCTGGATCTGCTCTGCAAACCAAGGTCTAGAAAAGAGGAGGGGGGAGGAATATGCCTACTATTTCTTTCTCACTTCATGTGAAAACATGCTTCACATGAAACAACTTAAAATTTTATGTGATAGATGTGTAAACAGCACCAGGAGCTGTAAATATGCACTGTCTGCTTAGGACGGAGCCATTTCTCCTTGTAAGGTCTTTACACTGATAGTCGTATGAACTTGTTTTCTATTTTTTCAAAAAGCTTTTCTGTTCATCAGTCACTATATTGAGGTTCCGTGCTCGCAAGTTGCATCCACCGGTGAGGGTAGGCCATTTAAACGCAAACGCTGGCAGGTGCACAGAATAGTAACCAGGAGACCTGAGACCCTTTGGCTGCTGGTCCCCTGCCACCTGCTGGGATGTCTGTCCTCCCGGTTTTCACAGTGGAAACGCGGAGGCATCCCGGAGTTTGGAATTTTCCCTAGGTTGGGCTTTCTCTCTGAACAGCTAGGCGCAACAGTAACAGCCACAGTACCCCCAAAGAGCCTCTTAAAGAAGATCCTTGTCATTAATTAACTCAGGACTCTGGCTCAGAAATGAGGGGAAGAAAAAAAAAAACTAGCAGAAATGTGCGCATATAACAGGAGCCAAGAAGATTTGGTTCTGCAGGCCCATGAAGTCCCAGGCACAGTTCTGCAGGAAACTTCCCTGTCCAGGCTCTTGCTCAAGTCACCAAGAGATAGAGAAGCTCCCTCGCAGGAGGTTGGGGGACAATGTGCCCAGATATGGGGTGGTCCCTCCCTTCGTGGCGCCCAGGACTGGTTCAAAGGAGCCTGTCCAGAGGCCACGCGCCCAAAGAAGGCAGTGGGGAAGGAACACCAACCAGCGTCCAGGGTCCTCCCTGGGTCCCCCCAGATTGCCACTTACTTGCTCCGAAGTGTCACCCCAGCTCGGAGCCTCTCCCGGCGCCCCCGCGCAGAGGGGCAGCCCCCAGCACAGCGCCAGCAGCAGGAGCATGGCAGCACTCTCCGTGGGACGTGACATTGTGCGGGGAGCTGCGCGGGATCCGGCTGCAGACGCCCAGGGGACAGCGCCCGCACTCTGCAGGCCAGGCGCGGCCCTGCCTCCCGAGCCTGGCCAGCCTCAGCCCCGCCACCGCCCCGCCCCCGGCCCGCCCCGCGCCTCCCGGTCAGTCCAGGGGCGTCTAGCAGCTAGCGCAACTCGCCCACCCCGTCTGCTTTCAGCCCGGCCCCCTAACTCTTGGACCCCGCGAGCTCACCACGACTCCTTCCTTTGACTTCTTCGCAGCCTTCTCCTTCCAGCGCCCTTGACACCCCCAACCCCCAACTCTTCCTTTCCTGCAAAGTGTGAAATGCTTCTTTATGGACTCGCTTCTTCTCTGCAGGAGGATACCGGAAGGGCCAGACTGACCACCGTAGCCCACCTCCCTCATCTGCTATAGATAGCGCTGCTCCACCTCCTCCCCCCACTCCGCACCTGCCCACCTGTTACAATTCCCGCCGCCCCCCACCCGCTGGACTAAAGACAACAGCAGTCCTTCTTCCCTCTGTCTGGAGAACAAACAGTACATTCCTCTTGGCCTCAGCCCTCATACTTAGAAGCCAAATGAAGAGATGCTAATTAGGCTGAAACCGGTTTGGCTCAGTGGATAGAGCATGGGCCTGCTGACTCAAGGGTCCCAGGTTCGACTCATCAGGTCAAGGGCATGTGGCTTGCAAGCACATCCCCAGTGGGTGGTGTGCAGGAGGCAGCTGATTGATGTTTCTAACTCTCTATCCCTCTCTCTTCCTTTCTGTGAAAAATAGATTATATATATATATATATATATATATATATATATATATATATATATATATTTTTTTTTTTTTTTTAAGAGTGCTAATTAGTAGCCTAATGCAGTAAGTACTACCAGTGTTGTCCCCATTTATGAGTTCTGCCATAAGGGGACAGGAAAGAGGAAGCTAGAAGTGGCATCATGTAGTATTTCTAATTCTTTTAGTCATTAATCTTGGAAATGAATGTCATTGTTACCTTAGTTACAAACTATTGGTGATATGTCCATCCTGTCATAGGAATAATTATTATCTACCAACCATCTACACATGGCCTTATAAAGGCTGGGCACCATCTTTTCATCTGGTAGACACCGTGTAGTTAAAGCTGCTTCTTTATTTTATCTTCCAAAACACAATTACCACAATTACCCAAAAGACATGTTTAGGTGTAGTGACAATTGCACCTAAGTCAATGAGCTGAATGATAGTGAGAGGTTGATGACAATCTCAAAGGCAAACAACAGAGAAATGGCTAACTCAAATAATGGAACATTCATTGTGTAGAATATTATACAGCCATTAAATAATAGTCATATGATCTATGGAAACGTGAAAAATAAAGGATAAAATCAAATTATATGATAGTATCAACAGAATGGTTGTAATTAGGTAAAAATACATATGCATGGACATATAAACTAGGAGAAAACAAGAAAAATGAAAACAGTGAGAAACCAAGATGGCGGCATAGGGTAGACACCTGAATGCAGCCTACCACAACAAATTTGAATTTAGAACAGGGGAAACATCACCCTGAAGTGCCCAACGGCTGGCTGAGAGGAGGCTCTGCCATCTGGGAAGGAGAGAGAAGGTGAGCTGAGCCTCAGGAACTGTGAAGGTGCGGAGAACTGTGCACGTGAAAACGCGGCCGCCAGACTTCCCTGCTGGCTTGCTTGTGGAGTGCGGAGAGGGCGGCCGAGTTCGCTGCTGGCTTAATCCCTGCACACGGAGAGGGCCAACAGCTGATGCGCGACTGGCTTTTTTGTTCGGGAGGAAAACAAAATTGCCCTATTGCTCTGATAGACGGTCCCAGACAGGGAGAGGCCAGACTGTCAGGCAGTGGGCAGAGATCTCTCGGAGGTGTGTGAAGCCAGCAGCCATTACTGCGGAACTCAGAAACCAGACCCTCATAGGGAGGGGCTGACAAAACTTGTCTGCACCACCCTGAGACTCTGCCCTATCCAAGCGAAGCACAGAAGACCTACCAGTGGCTAGCTTTCTTGTTAGCAGCGAATAGGACTCTCCTAGGGAGGGACAGACAGGAATCCAAAGCTTGTCTGCGCCTATACAAAAGAGGTGTGTACGCCTGCAACCAATCGTGTGGTATTCACCAAAGCTTGGCTGTGCCACCCCGAGACTTCGCCCCATCCAAGCTGAATACAGAAATCCTCCTAGCTGAGACACTTCTGATCCTCATAGCCAATTAGCTTGGAGATCAACGCTTCCCAGTGATACCAACAACAAGCAAGGCTTAACAACAAGACTGCACCTCAGGTAACTGGGAGGCTGACTCACTGAACCATATAGAACACCTTAGCACACAAAGCCACCCTACCAACTCAGGGAAGCTGTGAAAATGCCAAAACAAGGAAACAGATTACAAACAAAAGAAATGGAGGACAAAAAGCGACTGAATATAGAGTTCAAAACCACGCTTATAAGGTTTTTCAAGAATTTCCTAGAAAAGGCAGATAAAATAAACAAGACCTATGAGGATATGAAAAGGGATCAACTAGAAATAAAGAATACATTGTCTGAAATAAAAAATATTATACAGAGTCCTAAAAACAGAATGAAAGATCACAAGAATCAAGTCAAAGATTTGGAACAAAAAGAGTCAGAGGACACTCCTCCACAGAAGCAAGAAGATAAGAGAATCCAGAAAGTTGAAGATAGTGTAAGAAACCTCTGGGACAATTTCAAACGAAACAACATCGGAATTATGGGGGTCCCAGAAGAAGAGAGAAAGCAAGATACTGAAAACATATTGGAAGTATGATAATAGTGACAGAAAACTTCCCCCACCTTGTGAAAGAAATTGACTTACAAGTCCAGGACGTGCACAGAACCCCAAACAAAAGGAACCCAAATAGGACCACACCAAGACACATCATAATTAAAATTCCAAGAGCAAAAGACAAAGAGAGAATATTAAAAGCAGCAAGCAGGTAGTTACCTATAAAGGAGCACCCATACGATTGTCAGCTGATTTCTCAACAGAAACCATGCAGGCCAGACAGGAATGGCAAGAAATATTCAAGGTGATGAATAGCAAGAACCTATAGCCAAAAATACTCTACCCAGCAAAGCTATCACTCAGAATGGAAGGCCAGATAAAGACCTTCACAAATAAGAAGTTAAAGGACCGCCAAACCAGAATTATATAAATTGCTGAAGGAGGTTCTTTAGGAAGAGGAAGAAGATAAGATAAAAATTATGATCAACAAATACATAACTATCAACAAGTGAAACTAAAAGCCAAGGGAATTAAAAAAACCTGATGAACAATATTAACTGGTGAATATAATAGAGGTATGGAAGGGAAGTGGACTGAGGATTCTTGGGGGAAAGGGGAGTGGGGAGTGAGGGAAGAGTCTGAACAAGAACTGTGCACCTATGGATGAGGACAATGGGGGGGTGGGGAAAGGGCAGAGGGTGGGGTGGGAACCTGGTGGAGGGGAGCAATTGGGGGTGAGGGGAGGGAAAGAGGAACATTTGTAATAATCTGAACAATAAAGATTTCTTTTTAAAAAATGAAACAGTGGGTGTGTTAGTTTGTAGTGATACCTCTTGTTAAATTACTATATTTACTCTTGTTGTAAAGCTTTCTGTTCCACAAATATGTTGCTACTGTTAAATAAATGAAAGGAAAATCCCTATAATTAGCAGTTAATCATTTGACAGCTTAACCACAAATTAATTTAAAAAATTTGCAGCCAGCAAGAAGTGACATTAGCTGATCCCACAAGATTTCTACAACAAAACCACAGATAAAGAAGAGTTTTGAACTAAGTCAAAGGGTTTTTATTTTTAGAATCTGAACATGAGTTTTGAATGTGTCTCATGCCCCAGCCAGACTCAGAGGAGAGACCCAAATCTTCTGGACTTGACGTTTGCCTATTCCCTCCCTTCTCAAAAGAAAAATACTTACTTGTGAACTAAAAGTTGAATTTGGGAAAGCCATGTTATTTGAAAGGGAACAATAACAGCTCTATTATGTCAGTCCAACACAACTGGGAGCACATCTTTGTCCTCCCTTCCTACAACCCCTCCCCCACTCAACTCTATTTTTGGCCTTATATCTGCCCCATGTCCAGTTTATCCCAACTGATTTCTGCAGTGGTCTAACATTAAGAAAAGTGAGTTTTGCCGAAGCCGGTTTGGCTCAGTGGTAGAGTGTCGGTCTGCGGACTGAAGGATCCCAGGTTCGATTCCGGTTAGGGGCATGTACATTGGTTGCAGGCGCATCCCCGATAGGGGGTGTGCAGGAGGCAGCTGGTCAATGTTTCTCTCTCATCGACGTTTCTATCTTTCTATCCCTCTCCCTTCCTCTCTGTGGAAAATCAATAAAATATATTAAAAAAAAAAAAAAGAAAGAAAAGTGAGTTTTATTTTCATCATCTTGTAGGACTCTCCAATTCGCTCCTGCATTGCTAATGTTTGTTTTAAGGCCAGTTTCTCCCATTGGAACAGAAGTTCCCTGAGGACAAGGATTTTCCACAACTTGTAGCACTGCACTAAATATAAGGTTATCACTTAATGAAAATTTGACAAATAGCATTAGGCCTTAGGGTGGGAAGATAGAGAAGAGACTGTTCTTTTTTTTTTTTTTAATATATTTTATTGATTTTTACAGAGATGAAGGGAAAGAGCCAGAGAGCCAGAAACGTCGATGAGAGAGAAACATCGACCAGCCGCCTCCTGCACATCCCCCACCAGGGATGTTCCCGCAGCCAACGCACATGCCCTTGACCGGAATCGAACCCGGGACCTTTCAGTCCGCAGACCAACGCTCTACCACTGAGCCAAACCGGTTTCGGCAAGAGAAGAGACTGTTCTGTGACTGCTATGTCCTGCATGTTGGAATGGTCAGAATGGAGGATGGTTTGTGCAACGTCCCCTTAGAGACCTTCGGATTGTACTTGGTATTCCTTCTTACAT